AAGTAATTATTACATCAAGAGGAAAATTTGACATTTACACTTTAATAATACAACACAAACATTATGACGAAACAATGAAAGAAAATTTGATAATTGCAATTAACAATTTGTCAGATGTATTGCAAAGTAATAGGGTAAATTCCATTCGAGTTTCAAATCAAGGTAATTTAACTGATAATCTTTCAAAAAGAATTTTCTTTGATCTATTAATAGAAAAAATTTCACAAAATAACATTGAAATGACAATTTGTTATGGAAATGTCATTACTCCAAAAGCAGAAATGCAAGAAGAAATTATAAAAGAAAATCATGATAGCAAATATGGAGGACACAAAGGTGTTAATAAAACCTATAGAAGGATCCGTGAAAAATACTTTTGGCAAGGTATGAAAGAACAAATAACTGAGTTTGTAAGGAAGTGTATTGTTTGTCAAGAACAAAAACTTGTCAGGGCAAAAACTCATGAACCTATGTTGATTACAGACACACCATTAGATGTGTTCGATAAAGTTTCTATAGATACAGTAGGAAAATTACCTACCACTCCAGATGGAAATCAACATATTCTCACGATTCAAGATAACTTATCCAAGTATTGTATAGCTGTACCGATATCAGATATTACAGCTACTACAATTGCACATGCATTAGCAAAAAATTTATTCTGTCAATTTGCTGAAAGTTTTGATGATTGGGATAGATTATTGCCTTTTGCAATGTTTAGTTATAACACTTCTGTTCATCAAGCAACAAAATTTACTCCTTTTGAGTTAGTATACGGTAAACTTGCACGAACACCTAGTTCCTATCCTATTAATGATAATTTAGAAACTTATGGTTCGTATTTAGAAGAACTAATAATAAGATTAAATGAATTAAAAATTTTAGCTGCTGAAAATTTAATCGAAGGAAAACAAAATTCAAAATCAAACTATGATAAAAAAGTCAAACAATTCTTAGCAAAAATAGGTGATATGGTCTATGTTCAGAAAGAAGTTAAATTACATAAAAAATTAGATAGCCAATATCATGGCCCTTACAAAATTGATAAAAAATTAGATAAAAGCAATGTAATTTTAGAAAGTAAAGAAGGAAAACTTTTTCAAAAACACGTTGATAAGTTAAAACTTGCTTACCTATAAATAAAAAAGAGAATATTAATAAAGTTTATCTGTTTAGGAAAACAATGGCGGAATGCATTGTCACCAAGCCTCTTCGAGGACAATTTTACCCGTCCTACATTCTTCCTAAAGGGAGAGTGGAGGAATTAGAATTTGCAAAATCCCAATTGGAGGAGCTAGCCATAGAATATAATTTATCGAAACCTGTGGTAACATTGGATCGAATAGAAGGTCCTCAAAAGAGTCAACTTTTCTTTATGAAAATAGCCATAGAAGAAAAGAAAAATGGCAATACGTTTGTAGCTGTAGGGGATGGAAAGCCATCTAAGAAGCAGTCCTTACATTCTGCTGCCAGAAAAATCCTTAAAAAATTAGAGGAAATCTACTATTTTAGTGAGGAGGAGAATATAAATAATGTAAAAGAAAACACGTACGTATATTGTCTTAATTGTCCTTTAAAGATTCTACGCATCAAACTTTTTAAATGGGAAAATGCGTGTCAGTATTGTTATGCTCGAGGACACGTGATGACTGAGTGTCAAAACGAAATACGAAATAAAAGATTTCGTTAAAAACTCAATGGACTCTAAAAAATGAAGTATGGCAATTTAAATTTTTTTGATAGTTAACTAACATAAATGATAATCAAGATGTAAATATTCATTTCTTTTACTAACAATTATATATTGGAAATTATTTTATTTGCATTTATTAGTATTTACTAACAAAAAAAAAAGAATAAAAAAAAAAGGTTTAAAAAAAAGGGTAGTATTAGAATATATTCTTTATCCAAATAAAAAAAGGGGAGTTGGCTATAAGAACTATATATAAAATAACATTATGTGTAACTATAAAATACTACAACCGTGCTTAAAAACACTATTTTACAACCAATCACTATAGTTGCTTTTATAATCATATAACTAATGCATGAAATACTAAACTAGTATGTAATTATACAAATTATTAAAGTAAACTTTAATAATTTGCTTTTAATTATTAGTATTATTATTATTTTTTTTTTTTTGGTGGTCAGGTTATGCATCACTCTATAAAACTTTATAACTTACATCATTAAGGAATAAATACATTAATCTAGATATTCATTTTATTTACTTTAACTGCTTTTTTTAAAGAAAGAGTTTGAATTTATATAATAATTATTATAATACGCTGCGTAGTAGTAATAACATTTAAGAAGTAATGAGCATGAACTTTAATTAATTTTATTCAGTTGATTTTAAATAAACAAAAATACGATTTCCATATACAAACATAGTTAAGAATGCATGAAATACAGTTGTCATTTATATACAAAGTATTTAATCAATTTAGAATAAGAATGGTCATAAGTTTTTATCTCTCTTATGTTATTGACTCCACATTAAACATTACTATTATAGAATATCAATGCTAATGCACTTACATAATCACTTACAATATACAGAGAAATATAATATGCATTATTGTAACAATAACTTTAAGTTTGCTTTAAGTATTACTTTCTTTTAACAAGGCGTTTATTCATAATCTATACCATCATTTCTATTTTAATAGATTTGCTTTATTTTATTAATTTTAATGCTAGAATAGTTCGTGATAATTAAAGAAAAACATATTAATCCATATTGTTAGGACTACATTATGCTATTAAATAAAATATATATATAACCATTAATATTACAAAGCTGCATGATTTTACACATTTGTGTTTATTATAACATGTGGTTATTATTATAGTGCATATTAATTCTATAATAATGACCAAATATTATAAACATTTAATCAACAATACACTAAGATTTATTTTATCAAACAACAATTGAAATAGTATAAGTAATGCTGGTTTATTTATATAAATTCCACATTGTGCATAGTACGTAAAAATTACAATTAACTAAGGAACAACTGCACTTAGAGATATTTTATTTTTTCCTTACTCTGTACTACAAATTATAATACTTTTTATCACATTTCAATGGGTTTTGTTTAATTATATCAAATACTTCGTACACCTAATGATATTCCTATGATTTTCTCACATTTATAACACTACAGGTATACGAGAAATATTAAGCAAAGAAAATATACAATGAATGCATGTATTAAAAAATTAAAATTTTAGAGGTAGGCAACATATATCGCACCTATAGCACATAACGCATGATAAATATCTTTAAAACTAATACTTATATTAAAATTGCATGATTTAGATTAGTTCATTATTAATCATTAAGATTAAAATTTATTGGTATCCGCATAAGGAGCATAATAAAATATTAAAGTATAAGAGAAAATATACAATTCTTACTATTTGTATTACATATCTTATAATCATTTATATTTAATCATTACTATAAGTCAAATTCATATACTTTTATTATAATACTTGTCAAATTGAAAAACAAAAAAAAAGGGGAGCAAAGCAACAAACAGTTGTAGATAAAAGAAAGATAAAAATCAACAAAATTCAATACCTTTTTCTTTTATCTAATAATCATAAAAAAAAAATTATTATTCCCAATAAATAAAACAAAATTCAAAATATTTAATCAATTTCACAGATGGAAATTCCTCTTTTTGGTTGGATCACGGACGTCAAAACTTACTTCTACATTGCCTTTCGAATCATATTATTGTTAATAATTTTGGTCATTGCAAGATATTTATATACATGTTGCAAATCCATTCATGCCAGGAGTAAAAGGACAAGAAATTCGAATAATAGAAATCAAAATTCTCAAAAAAGAAGTCAAAATTCCGTAAATTCACGTGTCATTCCATCCATTTACATCGAGGACGATGCAAACTTTTAAGGAGGGAGGACAATACAATAAAAATTAAAAAAATAAATAAATAAAATTCATCATATTAAACAAGCAAAAAAAAAAATAATTGTCGCCATTTCTCCATCTTTAAAATCTATATACACGCCTCTTTATAATGGCCTCTTAATATGAAATTACGAATCACATACTAATGTCAACTAGCCATTGATTCGCACTTCAATATCACGTTACGTTGGGCGGCCGGACGGAGGAGGCGGAGAGAAGAAGATCATCACGTCGCTCATTAACAGCAACTACGTGACTAATATGTATCGTAAGTCACAGCGCGAGCGAAAGAATGTACAAAACTCTAATACTCAAATACATTTAAATTGTCCATCTTTTAAAATACAAAACATTTGATTAATTTAAAAGAAAAACTTATAAAAATACAAAAATGTAACTTATGTGCATGTGTATATGCATGTATATGCCCATATAAAATATATGAGTATGTGTATGTATACATATGTGATTATTAAGGTAAAGAATTTAAAGCTTACGGATGAACAATTGAAATACTTTGTATTGGATATTAAAATTTTACGAATATATCTTAGAAATTTTAATTTTATGCACATATAAATTAAAAAGTAGAAAATTTCATTAAATATTATAGCTATAATAGAATTGTGCATAGAATAATAAAATTTTTTAGTTTTTACCTATACATATATACAGTAATTAATCAATTTAAAGTTTCTATATATAGAAAAACTATATTCTCATAGTATATATGTATATGTACATTATATTTGGTAGAATAGAAAATTTTATTAAAAAAAAAAAGAGAAAAAAAAAAAATTTTTTTTTAAATACAAATTATTATATTAATATAATTAACTAACTTTCAATGTATTTTTAAAGAAAATTTTAATAATAATTGTTAAAAATTAGTAAGGATGGAGCAGAAAAAAGGAGATAAAAAAAAAAAACAGAATTTAAAAAATTATAAAAAACTAACTCGTTTATTCAACAAACACTCGCACATTTACGCTATACAAAAGACCACTCACACATATACCATTTCACATCACAATTTAAAAAAAAAATAGACTAAAAGATAATCACTAACACTAAACACTTAAACTAACAGTCTATTTGAAGAGGGTCTTTTTCCTCCACGAAAAAATTCTCTTCAAAATCCTCCACAAAAACTTGAAAAAATTGTGGAAGCTCGTCTATTGGCTCGTCTTTCACTTCGACTTCAAAAAATTCCTGCATATCGGTAGCAGTACTGGGGCCAGGTATCGCCGCAATATCTGCTACTTCTATAAAAACAAAACAAACAAGCACTTTAGTATATGTATATACATCGACAAATATGGATATATAAGAAAATTGTAAAAAAATAAAATTTACCATCAGGAATTTCTCGTTCACCAAGTCGGCACTTTCCACACCAACAATTTGGAAGACGATCTGGACAACTGTAACAAAAATACAAGAGAAATAAATAAAAATACGATATGAAAGCAGAATATCTTTTCATAAATAAGAAGATATAAAAGAAACAATACTAACGTTATCAATGAAATTACATCCGCCAACTCTGCATTGACGCTGAGGATTTCTTTAGTAACTTCATCGAACTGAGTCGTCCGATTCCTTTGCTCCAACTCTTTTCGACTAGGACGACCCTTTTTCCGATTCGCCTGCTCCATATTTTGACACAAATCTCTCAGTGCTTGCCACACTCCCAAGCTGTGGCCTAAATCTACTGAAATCAGCAGGATTTTGTCCAAAAATTGGCCTAATTTAGTTGGACATTGAGGTGGAATTCTTCCTACAAAAAAACATAACATCAATAAAAAAAAATAAAGTACATGTATGGAAATAGATAAACCAGTTAAATGTATTTAGAAATTAATGTTCCAAATTACCTGCTAAAAAGTCGTCATATTGCCAAGTATCAGCAGAGGATCGTCCACTTTCCATGGTTGCAGTTCGATTACTAATGAAGATTTGATCCCCACTATGTCACTCAAGAGAAGAGAACCCATTAATAAAAACAAATGATGAAGGATTTTTGCACGTATTAGAAGTCAATGAACGTATGAAGAAGACGAAATAATACTTACGAGATCACTGCTCCTAAGGCGCAACTGATAACACAAATCACATCACACCATACACTATAAACACATAATCGAGAGTAAGCACGTACCTCCTTTATAGTAAGCAAAGTCCTCACTTTTATAAACAAAACGTAGTTTCGATTAAATACCTTTACTACAATGTATGAGTATGAGATGAATGAAAGAGTACGAAATTGATAAAAATCAAGCTCACAATTCATAGATATTAAGTTCATTTGGGACAATGAACACTTTTAAGGAGGGAGGACTGTTACATCCCGTAACAAAAATCTTTTCTTAAAAGTATAAAGAACACGTATATACATAAAATAATATAAATTATCAAATATTAGTAGAAGGAGGGTGTATATAAGAAAATTCATTGTTCTCACCCATTCCTTCTGTTAATATTTGCAAGCAATCATGTTTACTACGAGTCGTTTTGGAAGCATTTTAGTTTGAAATAAAGGATTCTTTGTTCAATTCCTTTCTCACGATGAGTCTTATGCAGTTGCATAGGCTAATATCTACCGATGTGTTTACATCATATCAAGTCGCATGTACATTTAATAATACTCTTGGTAGTAAGAGACCTAAATGTTTAGTCTTCTTACAGCTATACTATGCCACTTGATATGATTTTCACACCATTACCAATAGAAAATTGTAGCATCCGCAACTGAAGTCAATATATGACTCATATATTGCATCGCGAGGCGCAAGCACATAAGCTTATGCTACGTGACCACAGGGTAGCTTTCGCCTCGCGTTGCAATACAATACCCCTATAGAAAAGACTGTAGATGCATATGCCGACCAGCGACCTATATCTATAAGATCCAAGAAATTGTCTTCGTGATTCTAAAATTATAATTCGATCAGGACGTGATCTCTGCTCATTTTCTCCCACTGAAGGATGATTTTGCTAGTATAAAAACCCTGCAATTAGCATGGGGCGTCGTCAGTTCTCCGGTTCTAAGATCGCACTTCACGTCAAATAATAAGTCAATATTTTGCTCTTTTCGATAATTGTAAAATCTTTCAAGTCTAACAGTACAAGTAAACTCGTGTTCAAAAGAATAAGTTCTCTTGGTCGCCCGGCTTGCGAGTATATTCTCAAAAAATCTGCAAAATCATATCAAAATACGAATAGAGACATTTGTGCAGAGATTAACGTTCTGTCGAGAGACCCTTCGGTTATGCACTTAATTTAAACTTGCAAATTTCTAAAACTAAGTAAACTCGTGTTCTTAAAGAATAAGTTCTCTTATAAATTGAATTGTGAGACATTATTAAAATTCGCATCTAACCGTCGAATTAGTGTAACTTTTGAAAATAAGTAAGATTTCGGAAGTTGTGAACTAAAGACAGTGTGTGTAAAACAACCATTCTGTGTGAAATTGAAAGAACACCGCTGCGTTAAATTCTCAAGTGTCAACCACTTGAATCATCTTGTTTTTCGGCCCTCATAAGAGGTAGTTGTAAGTACCAATTATCTATTTGTTAACTTCTACATTTTCATATAAATTTTAACACCTGTATTCACATCAAAACTGTACTTTTTCATATCATTTGCTTTTCAAATAATTTATTGAAATAAATCAAAAGATTACTATTATTTCGTTTTATTTCATTTCATTCAAAATTTAATCATAAAACTCATAAATCTTATAAATAATGGATAAAGTTTGACCAATTGTTAAATAAACTAATAAAGACGACCCCCATAGGATTGATAGATAACAACGATCTCACATAAAAATAAATAGTCAGAACTTACCAATCTGATTGTAATCAGCCTACCTTGCCTCCCTTATAAATTAAAATTACATTCAAAATATACATATTTATTAACCTCGCCTTTCGCTCGGGATGTAACAATAACAACAAATCGAATGAGGCATTTAAGATTTGGGTTGTTTTCCAATTAAATAGAACATCTTTGTTTTGACCCCAATTTTCAATGTTTTTACTATTTTTTTTATTTCTCTGGCAAAAATTAATATTTTTAAACGTTCTTAGGCCCATTGAAATCGTATTTTGTTATGCAATTCAAATTATATAAAACAATTCATGTACACATTCCTCCCTAGCGTATGCGAACCGTGAAAGTTGGCTCATAAAATGTCAAAAAATTGTGATTAATATTTATATGACAAAAAATGATCAGTAAAATGTATAAATCTTAAATTTACTTACATAAATCAGAGAAGTTTAGAATGATATATTTACTTGATTTTTAAACATTATATTTTATTGTAGAATTAAATTTAAATTTTTTGACATTTTATGAGCCAAATTTCACGGTTTGCATACGCTAGGGAAGAATGTGTACATGATTTGTTTTATATAATTTGAATTGCATAACAAAATACGATTTCAATGAGCCTAAGAACGTTTAAAAATATTAATTTTTGCCAGAGAAATAAAAAAAATAGTAAAAACATTGAAAATTGGGTTTTTCTTAGATATCTAATTGAAAAATTAACATATTCTTTGTCAAGGTGTCATTTCTTTCAGAATTTTATTAACTTTAATAAAATAAAGAGGAAAAAATTTTAGTTTTAATATTCTTGAAGATTTGAACAGTTTTATAGTTGTTGAAAAAGCAGAGTTCGCACAATTTCGGACGGTAGTGTATATCTATTTGGCCGCATTTACGAAGAATAATCATTTAAGATAATGTTTATAATAATTACAGAAAAATGTATTAATCTATTATTATTGAACTAAGAAAAACATCTCCAAAATGGTAATTTCTTTAATTGACTTTTGTTCAAATGGTATTTTCAGCACTCAATAGTTATAAATTTTTAGAACACATTACTCTTAAATCAGGTAAGAATTAAATTATAATAATTATTATAAATTTTAACATTTAAAAAAATATACTTTTTTACAGATCAGAGAATTTGTTGCTGCGTATGCCAACACAACGATCCCACGATCGCATTCATGCCATGTAAGCATCTTTGTATGTGCGAAACATGCTATATGCAGTATATTGCCAATGGAAATACGGTTTGCATTATTTGCAGACGAAAATTCTAGAGGACAACGGACTTTTTTTTAACATACGCCTAAATCAGAAATACCAATTTCTAATTACATGACATAACTTTTCAGGGGATATATTCAATTTCGCTTTTGAAATTGCCAATTACATTTTGATTTCTCCTGCTAAAAAATATTTAAGTTTATGTTTAATACAATAACAAAAAAAAATTTAATTTATAATTAATTTTAATTTAGTTTTAATTTGAATTGGTTTATCATTATATCTTATTTCATTTCTATGGCTATTTCTTGTATTTTACAAGATTTGATACAAGATATTTCCATAATATTTCACGCTTTCCTCAGGTTCACATATACCCTGAATATTAGTGCAATATTAGGTTTACTGAAAGCGGAAAATGATCTCCCAATAGACATTTCTTCTAATAATAATTAGAATATATAGTTATATATTATAATATATAATATATAGTTTTGTGCAATTTCGTTTATACTATTGGACATGAAAATTCTCCGCAAAAATCATTTATATTAATTATAAATTAATTACTCATGTAATTCACAAGTAAGATATATATCATGAATAAATTGTATACGAAGAAGAAAAAATGTGTACTAACTATATAATACACATGATAATAAAATAAAAATTTAATATACACTTCAAAATTATCAAAAAATCGTTTTGTAAATTTATTTTTTACTTATACTATTCAATATAATCCGTTTATTAATTATAAATTTTTTTTAAATGGGCATTGTGTAAATTGGCATTAAAATTACTAATTTAAAATTTTTAACCGATTATTTAAGATTATAATTATTATTAATTTATTAAATTATAAAGTATAACAATAATTATTATAAATAATTCTAAACTGTAATTATAAATATAAATAAATAAAATAATAATATAAGAAATAATATCTATTAATTTAAAAAAATAATTAAAATCAATTGAAATTTCGGTACAAATAACGACCAAAGGAATATTTAAAACATACTGCCCAAAAAATTAAAAAAATTATACAACAAAATGATTAACAACTAAAATTTTTAATTCTAATTGATTCAATTAAAAATTAACGAATACTAACTTACCATTTTCCCATAAACACTTATAAAGTATCAAAGTCACATTCAAATTTCGCGCAATTTTAATAAAACTATAGATTGAATAGAGGGTAAACTCATATAAGAAAATAGTGTCCATTAAATGACAAATCCGTGAAAAATCAATTTCGTTAAAAGAAAATTTCGTTAAATGACAATTCCGTTAAATGTCAATTCCGTTAATTTGAAAATCCGCTAAATGTCAAATCCGTTGAATGGCAATTCAGTTAACTAGCAATTCCGTCAAATGACAATTCAGTTAAATGACAATTCCGTGAAAAATTATTTCCGTTAAAAGACAATCGCGTTAAAAGACGATTCCATTAAATGACCATTCCGTTAGATGCCAATTCCGTGAAAAGTGAATACCGTCAAAAGATAATTTCGTTAAATGACAATTCCGTTAAATGCCACTTCTGTTAAATGTCAATTCCGTTAAATGACAATTCCGATAAATGTCAAGTGCGTTAAATGAAAATTCCGTTAAATGTTGATTCCGTGAAAAGTTAATTCCGTTAAAAAACGATTCCGTTAAATGTCAATTCAGTCTTTTGACAATGCCGCGAATAAAAAATTACGTTAAATGTAAATTACGTGAAAAGTCAATTCCATTAAAAGACAATACCGTTAAGTGACATTTCCGTTAAATTCCAATTCCGTTAAATGATAATTTCGTTAAATGTCAAGTCCGACAAATGCCAATTCCGCTAAATGACAATTCCGTTAAATGAAAATTCCGTTAAATGTCAATTCCGTTAAATGACAGATCCCTTAAAAGACAATTTCGTTAAGTGACAATTCCGTTTAATGTCAAATCCGTTAAATGTCACTTCCGTTAAATGACAATTCCGTTAAATAACAAGTCCATTATGTGAAAAGTCCGTTAAAAGTAAATTCTGTTAAATAACAATTCTGTTAAATTTCAATTGCGTAATATGTCAATATTGCTAAAAGTCTATTTCAGAAAAATGACGATTCCGTTATATGCTAATTTTGGTAAAAAACAGTT